CGTAGTTACAAAAATACAGACTGGGGATTAGTCCAAGAACTCATTCGACTCTGTCAATGGGATGAATATTTTACCACTGACTCCCTGGAGACTGTAGTGTCCCTATTTTACAGGAATGTTATCCTTTGTCTAGATACTGTTGCTCCTAAGAAGGTAGTGAAATTAAGTAGACACCAAGCTGATTACATTCCGAGGGCATGCCGCAATAAGTTAAGGAAGTTGAAGAAACAGTACTATTCCACTAAGGATATATCACTACTGCACTCCATCCACGAGTCTCTTGAATCTATCAAGCGCCAACGCTCTCAAAAGGACCTCGACGAAGAATCAAGGGCACTTGAAAGCACCTCCAAAGTTTATAACTTAACAACACTTCTTAAAAAACGAATGCAGTCGACGAGGGCATCCCCTATTTACTTCATGACAAAGTTATCTACAATGTGCCTGCCACCATCTGTGAAATATTCAGTGAGTGGTTTGCAAACTTCAGTTTAGAAACGCGCATTCCCGGTGGCACCGGCCCCCTTACTAGCTCTTTCCTCGGAAGCATAGTGTTCACCGACCAATTAATAGAACAAGCAGTTAAAAGCCTGAAACCTTCCACTAGCACGGGACCAGATGGCCTTGCTTCTATAATTTTCAAAAACAGTGGGTGTGATATACCCCTACTACTTCTAAAATTCTTCTCAAAATCTATGGACACTGGCACTTACCCTAATGAGTGGAAAACTAGCTTCATAATTCCACACTATAAATCCGGTGATAAGGCAAACGTCCGCAATTACAGACCTATAAATATAACCCCAGTTGTCTCGCGAGTCATGGAGAAAGCTGTCAAAGATCAGTTGTCAGACTATCTACTTAAGGAAGATCTTGTTACAAGGTCTCAACACGGATTTCTCAAAAATAGGTCTTGCGTTACTTGCCACTTCGACTTTTTCAACTGCGTCACTAGTAGTCGCGAAGCACGTAAGCTAGTTGTTGTTCTCTACTTCGACATATCTAGGGCATTTGACATGGTATCTCACAGTATTCTCTTTGAGAAGCTGTATTCATGTGGGATTCGCAATCCATTACTGAGCTGGTTAAAATCGTTTCTAAGCAATAGGGTACAAATAACCAAGGTTGGATCTGTGTTGTCTCATCCCAGACAGATCACAAGTGGGGTTGTGCAAGGTAGTGTCCTAGGTCCACTTTTATTTACAGCATACATTAACAGCATTTGCAACTGCTTCACCTCAGGTAAATCATTCCTATATGCTGACGACCTCAAAGTCGTTTACTCCTGCCACGCTCATGAACTAAGCGATATGGTGAATAAAATACATCTTGAACTAAGTAGTCTCGCAACATGGTGTACTGAATCCTGTCTAAAGTTCAACATTGATAAATGCGGCTGGATTTGTATCGGAAACAGTAACCTTGACCTGAATCTTGAAATAAATGGGCGTAAACTAGCCAAGCTCAACTCAGTCGTAGATCTCGGTATCAGATACTCTAGTAACTTAACGTTCTCCGAACAAACTGATTGTGCCAGACGTAAAACACGAAGGCTCCTAGGATGCATAACTCGCAATTTCTTTTGTTGTGAAACTAGGGTTTTATTATATAAAGTATGTGTCCGACCTATTTTAGAATACCGCCCGTTTATTCTGAGCGGACTCAGACAAAATGACAAGCTTAAGTTAGAAGGAGTGCAACGGCAATTCACCTTAGGAATTCTTGGTTTAGAAAGTGGTCTTGAATACTATGATCGTTGCGGTAGACTGAGATTAGAACCACTCTGGAAAAGACGTCTTAAGCTAAACCTGATTTTACTACAAGCTAACTAATCTGCTCGTGCACTCCTCCGAGCCAATAATTAAACCTACCGCTGCCATCAGTTACAATCTTAGAAATCATCACAACCTAGTTGCTACAGAGCATTGTCAGACTTACATGCCGTACAACTTCTTCTTAAATAAGTTTTCAGTCATTTGGAATAGACTACCAGCTGATGTGCGCGATGCAAACACACTCGCAGTGTTCATCTCCTCAGTCACCAGACTGCTCAAAGATGACAGTGCACTTCCGCGTCTGAATCCTACACCCACTTGTTCGTCCAACATAGATATTTTAAGTTCATGAAACGTGTAGTTACAACAAACTACAATTATAAATTTTTATATTATTGGAAGTACATGATAGACATTTTTACACAGGACAATAATATTAACTCACACAATATAAAAGTTAGCATCACGGGAATAGTTAGTTAGTGCACCAAAATAACTATAATTACCAAACAGAATATATATGTATATATACACATTAATCACCCCCTAAGTACTCCACTTGCTTTCTTTTGCGTTGTTGTTGTTTGTCTTCTTTTGTCTCTCACCATTTCAGCTTCCATTTAACTTTTTGAATGAGAACGAAGAATGTAGATATTTGGCCATTTACAATGACAAATGATCCCATATCTTACAATTCCCTCGTGAATTGCGCATTGCCTTCACCAACGACGCAACCTGGATTACAGTTGTGAAATATACCTTTATACCAATAAAAAAGTATTGATTTATAATACTTCACGATTGTAACCTACAACATAACTGATTGTGTCTTCAAAATAGTTTGCATTTCTTGAAAACACCCGTTTATAAGAAAATATAAAGCGTCATTATTATTAGTCTACCTTGAGTACTATTCACTTGTGATGTTACGATGAAAATGCTGACAGAAGTATACAAGTGCATTACTTATTTTAAATTATTATCAAGAATAAGACTCGATGCCGTACACACCAAAGTTATATGGAGGAATTACTTCAAGCTTTATTTTTTTCCCAAGTATATGTAATCCATCCAAAACGTACTTGGGTTTTTTTGTTAATGCGAAGACAATATTTCTACATTTCTTGATGTGCTCCATTGAATGACTAGTTATCATATTGTACGCCGAGTGTTCGGTCCATAAAGCCTTCATCTTTTTCGTTAAGGTTATGTGAAAAAGAAGATGGTTTCCATGGTTGATCGCTCAGTTCACGATCGCATGGAGATAGGCATACGGAAACTGGGGTATCCTGGGTGTCTGAAGAGGGCACATTTGAGAGTAATGAAACAGACTGTTTGACATCAGGTTGATTGGTGGCATTACTGTCGGGTGCGGAAAAGAGAAAAAATGGTGAGGGGATTGATTAGTTGGAAAGGTGTAAAGACGGTTTTGGTGTCGGGGGAGTGTCTTTCTGGGGTAGTAGCATTTACTGAGTGGATCCCCAAGCAGGCTATGCTGAAAGTTTAGGCGATTGAGTTCATGTGGCTGTGCACCAGGAGTATGGGCATAGTTATATTTGGTATTACGCAACCTCATAGTAGAAGTTGGGCAGCTGCAACTGGTTGTATTAAAATGGTGAGGAAAAGAGAATGAGATAGGTTGACTAATGTCAGTTCTGTTTGATACCATAGACATCCTTTTGGGAGATTTAAGCGTATGAGTAATAGGAGGCGCTGAATCAGGCTTGACGGAGTGTATGGCAGGCATATATATTTCATTCCTGTTTATGCAGGAACATACCAATTGTACAGGCATGGATAAGTTATTATATAAATTACAGTTTGTTTGTTCAATCTAACTTTAGGGTCAGTCAGAACAGTCTGCGAAATAGTCTGTCTGTGTAACACATAAAGAGATATAGAAATATTGTCTTCGCATTAACAAAAAACCCAGACATCAGATGAATGTAATACAAATATCTGGGAAAAATAAAGCTTGAAGTCAATTCTCCTATAAAACTTTGTTGTGAACAGCATCCGTGAGATAAAGTTTATTGATGTATTATTTTGATTCAATAATGTATTTATTCCATTTTTGTCAGCAGTCTAACCGTAGTTTTATAATAGGAAAGAAATTTTGATCTTTGATACGAAAATTAGATAAGGTAATGTTAGATTGTTTTACTGCATCAAATGGGGTCAATTCTAGAACTATCCATTTGCGCCATTTGCGTCAGCATGGCAGACTGTACATGTAAGTTGAGTAATACATTGAAAACTGTTTGAAAACCAGTTGTTTCTTTATATCAGATCAAGAATACTCCTTGCACAGAATGTTAGCCAGCGTTTTCAAGTGGTTGCATTGGATCGTTCATGGAATTTGAGTTTGAATTTACATAAATGGTCATTTCAGTTTAGATGTTGGGTTGTTCGACCTCGACCAGGAGGTATATAGAAGATTACGCTCAGCAGGGAGATAAAGTATGTATATGGCATTATTACTTTTTAGAATTTTGACTCTGTCCAACCCTATTATGTGGTTGTGTGTTAATGCATGCAGCACTACTGCTGAGGTTTTTTCTAAATTACTTATCTTCGTGGGATTAAACATTCTAACCTTAGCTAAATTCTTATGTTCTCATAATCTCACTACTCCTGACCTACTAGTTTGACCTATATAGTTGACCTTACAGTCATTGAAAGGGATTTTTTAAATAATATTTTTTTTCTTTAATTGGGTCCACCGGGTCCTTAGGCCTACAGAGCTTGTCTCTGAGTGACCTTGTAGATTTGAATGCCACCCTAATTCCTGCTTTATTGAGAACCCTACATAAGATCTCAGATGTCCCCTCCTTATGCAGTAAAACTGTAGATGCCTTATACTCTTTCTTATTTATGTTATCATTATTAGTTTTATCATTATTTTCATTTTGCTTTCGACTTTTTTTATATTCCTAAGGAATTTAATAAAATAGTTATTTAACACCAACGCCTCTTCTATCTGTTTCATTTGATCGTTTAGGTTTTCTGTTGTACTACTTAGTGCTACTGCTCGGTTTGTTAGACACTTAACTAAGCCTTTACTTCAGTGCAAAGTTCAATGTTGAAACCGGTCAGTCAATCAGTCAAATGCCTAAATAAGTGACTGACACCATTAGAAGATCACTGATTTAGTAGATATACATTTAAAAAAATAGGCTAAAACAAACCTTATGAGATAATATGTATTATACTCTTTTTCTTTACCTCTTCTAACCTTTCACGTAAACACACTGAATTCCAAGTAGGCAGCTTGTGATAAATATTATTCCATAGTCTATCAGCAGTTGACATAGATGACCATGTTACATTGTCACAAAGTAAGCTGATATTAGACATTAATGAAGAATGTCCACCTTTTAAACCCAATAAATATAAACCATTGAACGAATTTACTTTTATGGAATTAATATTGACAGAAGATTGGGTAATTTTTGAGCATCTTTTTGTAACACCTAGAACAATATCAACCTGTATATTTAAACAAAAAAAAGCAGTTATACAGTTTAGTGTAAGGTAATATTCATTTACAGCAAGAGAATAAGTTCATTAAGATTGAATCTACACAGTTATCCTTACACACTTAATTAATGCCAATAAATAATATTAAAATCATTTTTACAACAGCTTTGGATGAAATACCAAACTAATAAATGTCATGAGTAACACAAACTTACTCCGGAGATGGTCACCAGAATGGAAGTCAAGAAGACTTTTGACAAGTTTAAAGACGAAATGTCACCCGTTTTAGTTTTCGCCTATAATTACTATGAAGATATCTAATAGAACAGTTTTTAGAAAAATACTAGGCATACACTATAAATTGATTCTCAGTAGAAACTATCATCGCACTTAATTACTTGGCGACCATTATCTGTGAATACGATATATGCTTTACACCACCTAAGTGCACAGTATTGTAGCAGGATTGGCGGGAGCCTGTACCTGCACTCTCCTCGCAAGTGAACCACTTCAAGTTATCGATAAGTTAGCATATTTAAATATTTGTCTGGCTGATTGAAGAGGTGTGACAAATGAGACCTCTAGTCATATTGTGGTGAGAGCTGGCTGCTAGCCAAAATCGGTAGACAGTAATTTACGTCCCCAATATCGGTCGTGAGAAAAATAAGAACAAAGACTGACTCAACAAACAATCACAGAAGACTTTGAGTTGGCGGATACAATTTGCAGATGCATAATCTGAACTTCAATAAACGGCGACAAAGAGATGAAAGATTAACGTTCAGCGAGAAACCACCAATCAGAAGACTGTGTTTGTTCGCTTACAATAATCTATAATAATGTGCATGAAAATCTATAAATATCTGTTGATTTCCTAAATAAACGATCTGTTGCCTGGCCCTTGTCTTCTGTTGTTACAATATAATGAAAGTCTTGATGGCATATAGCTAACCTGGGACAACACTGGCGCTGTTTCAACATTAGTCTGACCTTCGAAGGTCCGGTTTACAGTGATTCAGTAAACACAAGCTTGCTCTACGCCTTTAGAAACTGACCTCTGTGAGCTGAGGATGTGCGTCAACTCTGTGGGTTCGACCACCGCTGGCTTTGTAGAATTACTTGCATTCGGTGGCATCGCCATGCAAGTAATTCTGACGTCCCTACTGCTCGTTAGTCACTGACTACTCGGTGGACTTCCTGGGGTTCTACTGAGAAGTCGTGATCGGTGGGTTCCAATAAGGGGCACGTGCGGACGGATATTTGCAGACGACATTGGCTGGAGGTATCGCTATATATCGCAGTTTCACTTAATTTACTGGCAACAACATACATCACACTTGAACAAATAGCTTTTGGTCGACATTTAAGACTAGATACCCACATCGTCTACTACCTAATGATTAATTCATGTATATTTATTTAAAAGTACACACAGAAAAGGTAATTTTTAACACAGCAGTAACGTTAGCCAAAAAGAAGTTAAACTCTTACCTGAAAGTGTTTACCTGTGTCAGTTAGCAGCTCCATGGTTTTAGTAAGCAAATCTTCATGTATATTTATTGCGCGTGGATTAATAACAATGATATAATCTAAATTAGCTTTTATTGCAGCCTGGAGACCAACCTTCAGTAAATTTGAATCATCTTCACTCTAAATGAATATTAAGGTAAGTAAACAGAAAACTGCATCTAATATTCAAAATAACTTTTATAATTCAGTCGAAACAATACTGAAAGTTAAAGAATACTAAACAAACACACACAAACACATAATTTATCTGAAGAAATATTTAATCGTGAACCAAAATTAGCGAGAAAACTAATGACAACCAGGGGCACTGGTCAGTTATTATATCCTCCTTCGGAATGTTTCAGTAGTGGGAACCCACAGCTCCTACCAGGTGCAGAAGCAAAAAGCATCGGGAAACCTTCTCACTTTCAAATGAAGATCGATGGCTCAGGAATTTCAACCTTTGTCAATGCATGATATAGTTCAAAAACTGTCTTCGTACTTGCTTTCCTGGAACCCATCAGTTGCAACTTTTCACCGCATCTTCAATATATCTTTATTCAAGATGACAACGAGTAAGTCATCGGCTGATATTCAGATCTTGTATTAGTGAGAATTTAAATGATCTCAGAGTAGATTTTGTTATGTATATTCAAAAAAGATATTTGGAGATCAGGTCTGGCAGGAAATACTTCGGTCTTTAAAATGATGAAATTAAGTGGGATCATGTGAAAGCAAAATAATGGTATAGCATACACGAGAGCGCCTTGGTGGTTCAGTGGTAGGACGCTCACCAACCACGCACGTGGTCTGGGGACAGATCCCCAGCCAACGAACTCCCAAACCTCGCTAAGCCGGTGGTCAAGCCGGTAAAGAGGGAAGGTTGGGCGTGAGACTAGTAATCCCACCCCGTGAAAATAAAACCACCGCTACCGAAACTCCAAAGCTCTAACTTGAAGCCCTGTGTTCCAGTTGGAAAGTAAAGGATTTAAAAAATACAGGGGAGCAGATAATAAAGCTGTTCTCTAGCTAATAACGATTTCTGAGAGTCCTACAGAAACCCTAACCAGTATTACAATGGAATGAATGTAGCACTAGCCTATACCTGACTTATTATTTTAACAAAACCACCAACAGAGAATAAAGGCTTTTAAGTATTATTTCATTTCTTAGTAGATTCTTTCAGTATTTCTGCATAAAGTGAGATCTTAAAATAAAACAAATTCGCCGACTGCAAACACCACATTTTTCAGTACTCCTTAGAAAACCAAAATATAAAGACCACAGTATGCAACCTGCCTGAAACCACTGCTGAGCTCCACCTCAAACTGAGTAAAACGGTCGTTCGGTGTTCACATCACTTCAAGTTGGTTGTAAGCACGACTGATTGACCTGAATGGTCTTCAACTACTCATTCTAACGAAAGACAATCAATTCAATGATAGACGAGTATTATATATATCAAAGCTTCCTGTATTTCATTGACTTACACTTCATCTTAAGATCACCTAAAAGAAGCCACCAATTTATTTCGCTTTCACCACCTACAAAACTGATTTTTATCTCCATGTAGTAACATAGAAATCAAATCACTTCTACAGGACACTTCACTTCTATAGGACATAAGAATAAAACTGTCGTATGTATAACGGATGGTAATATTTTCACCTAATGTAATGTGAAAACACGTTAAACTAAGTGATCAAAAACTGCAAGGTTATGTAGAATATCAGGTGACAGTGAATGTGTGTTATAGTTTGAAATTAACATTTCAAAATTATAGGCCATCGTGGTATATTTTTTTAACATGTAGCTTACTCGATGTGTATTGTTAAAAAGTGCAGTCAGATCACATGTTGCTCTAATAATTATCATAATAATAATAGTAATAATCAATTAACATCTGATCCTACGCGAAATATTGTGCAAAAAGATGTTATGTTCTTAAATAACGCAATACTCACTACAAAATTAAACCATGATTTCATTTTTTCCAACAAATTTGCAGAAATACGATTGGAAAGTGACGCATATTAAACAAATTATTTTTGGTAATATTAAATCTGTGGCTTAATGATACGCAAAGTTGCCTTTCATTTTTTTGAGGGCTCAGCCTGTTCGTCCAAACAGTTGAAAAAATATTCATCCAACAGGCGTAAATTGCTCACCATCGAGAGTACACACCTGTGCAATACCATTCCTAATAAAAGCCTACGCGTTAATTTAATGTACGGCGGCGAGTGATACTCAGTCACTAGAATTGAAGTAAGTAAGATAAATTTGAATTAGTGAGCTTAGGCGTAGGCTTTTTAAATGACTCGGTGGCAGACTGACACATACATATCTTTACAAGATGAAGTTATTACTACGTACTCAATAAGATTGTGGTAATCAATATTATCATAATGTGGAAGGGAGAGGCTGACAGAACCAACTGACTAGTTTAGACACATAACTTTGTGAAGAAGTACAGCAGTTCGAGTTGCCACACTCCATGTAGCACACAAATGGAAGACAAAAGGTATAAAAAAAGTCCAGAAGAATTATAATGAGCAAAAATGTGAGGGAGGAGTAGTAACATGAAAAGACATGACGGTTTAGTGGGTATGAGCTATACAAAAGAGTGAATGCATCTGCGCCATTGAACACAATTTCGAGCCATATCACCAATTTTCTCCGGCCTTCATAGGTTCTCATAATGCAGAGGACCGGAACTAGATAGCCTAAACCTCCCTACGTGGCTGAATCAAACTAACTGTCAAGGTATTCATGGATTGATTCCGTGTTTTTGGTTTGACTAACACTAACTCTTTTCCAGACTGATCCTAAGTAAACTAACATTGCTAGTCGAGAAAGGCGATGGTTAGGTGTGCATAAAACAAATCATGTCCATCTCCATCAGAACCCCAGGGATAGATTTCCCCTCCCTACCTAACACTCGATTCCTAACGTCAATACTACTCACCTTATTATGCGACCTAAAAAGGGAGATAGAAGACAGACGCCCATTGTCAAAAACAGCTAACCATTTCATGTCTTCCACTTTCAATGGCCATATCTCACGTCCATAAATGAGAACAAAGGGGACTGCTGAGCAGTTCATACACCCTTTGACCAAACTACTTATGAAAAACAATGTCGCATCACCTCACTTAATACAAAAATACAGTTATGGTACTGTGGTAGAGTATACATCCACAGCGGATAATCTGATTGAACAGTTGTGTGAGTGCCTTATAATGTTAACGAACAAGAAATCGTGCTTTAGACGGCACCCAATTAAAACTAATGTACTAGAATGTCTTATACAAAACAAACTTATCTAACATGAAATCGTTCAACTCAACCTAAAGCAAATCACAGCTTTACCAGAAAACTAACCTTTTAACGATCATCAACACCACTTAAATATATCTAATATCACCTCATTTATCATCGTCAACCTAATTACACCCACGGTTCGGAAATTCGCTCACTATTAAGCATGTTGGACTATTGTGAACAGAACAAATACGCTCAAGAAACAGAACTCCATGACAGTGAACAGTTTGTGTTGAATATTCAGTGAGCACATCGCCTCACTTCCCAATGCAATGAATGCTACGATTCCAAAGTAACTGTGCTACTCAGTAACAACCTTTCAATCAGCATTCATAAAAAATATGATACATGCATAACCAGCGATTTGCTAAGGCCAGTCAGACCTGTGAATATTTATCTATATTCGTCTTCCCGTGAAAATAAACGACAAACTTCGTATAAAATCAAATTCTTGAGCACAAAAGGTTTAAATAACATTGGTAGATAGCTAAAAAGAAATGGTTTCCTCAAATAACCCAACTGTCTTTGCTTTGTAGCTTAGGACTTGATAAGTGTAAACAATCGCTCTTTAGACTAAGTGATGAGGTAGATTTTTACAGACCTTTGTTTTCTGATGGTTATAATCGAATGAAGATAGGATCGACATTATGAGACTTCTTGGTTATCAATCTTTATTAGCATACCCAGTCCTTGGCCAGTTACGCTCACATTAATTGTCATATTACTGCTGTTCTAATGTTGAAAATTCAGTTTCGAATTTTCGTCTGCTTGATGAGCGAATTCTTCACATTCGGAAGTAAGCTCTAACGCACACGTTGATTGTTATTAAACAAAAAGTAGACAATAATGGAAATTGAAATGCTCACCTCAGAAGTTACATAACGACATTTTGAAAGTAATTTGCTTTTCACACTGAAATTTTCGTTAAGAGAGCGTGGAGTTCGTTGACTCAGTGGTATTATGTGACTGTGAAGTTGACTGTATGAGCAATACGCACGGGGATCTTCCCATTCATTATTATGATTGAAATTGCGTCGCGCCAGAGAAAGAATATGGGAACTGTCAGCCAAATCATCTCTATCTTCCCCCTTAACCTACAAATATAAGTTTCAATTGCTCAACTATTATGCATCAATGCAAGTGGATGTCAACAAAATGCAATGCAACCTTTTGTTGGAGTAAACAATAGGTAGACATGTTTTATAATACGGCATCACACATAAATTCCAACTCGGTGCCTAATATATCTTCAGAACATACCTTCCTAACCTTTCAAGAAAAACATGCCTTGTTTCGTAATCGATAGGACAGCTTCAGAAAGCAATAAACTGTCCGGTCAATTTCGCTCTTCCGTATACTGATTTCTGGATAAAATGACCTGACCATCTCAAAGGTGAATTTGAGAAACCGTTTTACCAGACAGTTAATGAAAAAACAATGTAGTTGTTGTATTCGGTGAAATACATCACAGAACTGTGGGTAGAGAGCCAGATCTTGAATTTATACGGAAATCGAAGGTACACCTGAGTAGTTGAAGAAGCATGTTTCGGGATTCTGAAAACTTTCATCTATGATCATCATGGGTCTTACCAAGAGACATATAAATACTATTCAAATTTATTTTATTATTCATTAAATATTCGTAGATTAAGTCCTTGTGGTGTGTTTGGTCAGTAGAGGCAGAACATAACCTTGATATGATTATATGAACCTTAAATTTCCGCGAATTCGATGTGATCTGAATAAATACTTTTCCAATAACTAGTCGATCATTCACGTTTTATAATATATCCCTTCAGGAAGTTCAACTTCATTTTCCCTTCCGCCAGTTCGTCAGAGGAACGTAAAATTTTGTCTGATTCGTTCTATGTTTGTTATGTTCAAGAGTTCAGAGAACCAGTGTTAAAGATAGAGTAGACACTGAACTGGAATTTGTCGCCTGGTTACTTAATTGTTACCGACTCATCCAACCTATTTTTAGCATTGCCTTCAGAAGATACCCACTTATTATAATACTTTAAGATAACTTCCTTGTGTTTTATTTTTCTATGACGTTTTTACAATATTCCTTCTGGAGAGCTGACAAAGGTATTTTGGAATTGTATTATAACTTGTTTTATTGAATGTCACAGGTTGTACATAGCGGAAGAAAACCTACGAAATTAAATAGATTCATATTATTCCGTGCTATTGTTTGTCCTTTATCTGTCCGAATTTCTTCGCTTATTTAATCACAAAACTCGTTTAGCATAAGTACCAAGAAATACGCCGCACAAAATAAAGTAATATAACGAAAAAGTTAAACATGAAGAATAAATCAATAATAATATCGTAACTATAGGTAGTAACATCAAGACAAGGTGGCCTATGCTACACATGCACCTGCGCAACACTTCAATGTGAGTGCGAATAGACTTCAAGGTGGAATCAAAATTTCACAACGTTAAATTTCAATGACTTACCACCTGCTGATATGAACAAAGATATATGCACGTCAGCACGAAATTCAACAATTCTCGGTGAGTTCATCACGACAGTATTTGCTGGCACGTGCTAAGTTTTATTACCAAGAGGTGCATTTTATAATCCCATCTTCTGTCAATTCGGTGAACATGTCTATAGTCACTCTCCATACCTTGAAGAAATCAACTGTAAATCTCGGCGCCTAAGTTTGTTTGTTGTGCACATTCTTCAAAATTCCTCATATCTTTATTCATTTTTTCTTTCTCATTTAACATACACAACCCACATGTGACTTCATCTTCCTGACTGTATAGATAGAATTATATAAATGGGAAGGCTAGAGTATAGTGAAGATGGTCCACCGAAAAATGAATAGTTGCGTATCAGTTTAATAACTAAATGACCATGTGATCAACTTAGTAACCTACTGAAAACACCAGCAAAATTGGGAATATCTTACAGAAGATGAACCACTTACTTTTGTCTGGCCGCTCATGAAATATTTTTTCGTCCGTTGGTGGTTCGGCAAGATGTGAAACCATTTATTCAGGTCACACAAGTCAGTAGAATCCTTCGCATAAACCAGAAAACAGGTTGTATTTTGTGGTCGAGCAATAAAAGCTTCTTTTTGAATGAGTTTGTTCACCCAAGACACAATAACGTTAACAGATACTTCTCCAAGCACTCTCTCAAACAAAGCAGAATTTTTCAAAAACCTGGAGACATCACCAGAACAATTGTCCTCTGCTCCTCTCCTTTGAAAACAAAACTGGGAGACGATGACCACTCCAATCCTTTTGTTTGAGCTTGACGTTTCATCACATCTCTAAACAATTAAATAATAACTTCACGACAATAGACTACTTTTAATTTAGTTCTCCCTGTTAGCGATGTCGTGAGCTCTCCCCGAATTTTTTTGAAGCATATGGTGGAGAAAAAAAGAATATTACTGATGACTTTCAGCAGCACAAGGCCAAAGAGTCTTGTGAACAGTAAGAAAACAGATATTGTAACAGATGTTCCTCACGGTCACATACAGAGAAAGAAGAAGACGCAGAGTGCGATGAAAGGTCTATATTATGAAAAGCGATATAGGCAGATTTTGATTGGCTGTTGGCTAGCTGGCTTCTTATTGGTCTAAAATATAAGTAAAAATGGCAGTCTCTTTATTTTGACACGGAAATTTACAGTCAGTTTAATTTCAGGCTTAACTTACCATAATATAACGGCGTGTTAATTTTTTTGGTGTGAGTGTAGTGTGATAGTCACACGCTATTTGGATGCATTTGTGGTATTTAAAGTACATTGAGATGTATGAGAATGTCTAGCAAGTGAATATAAATTAACAATAATTTTGATGCATTTATTTTAAGCCCAAAATAGGAAGTATGCATTTTTGGTTACTAGGCGAATATAATTCAACTACAATTTCTAAACATATAATGTGTCTTTAATTAGAACATATAGATAAATGTACGTATTAACTGATCCACTTTTTTAAGTTGTTAGTTTAGTGACCTGTGGGATTTGTGCATATTAGGTCAGCATAAATCAATTAAATGTACTAGGTCACAACAGTGGTTTATGAGCACTGAAATATGTACTATTATTCATCTACTTCAAATTATAATGTTATGTTTTGTTCGTTGGTCATTGTTAAAACCATTACATGACGTTACAAGATACTCCTGCAGCCTCTACTACACGAAATGTGTCATCTATAATGTCTGATGTAATGGCTATATTCCAAAGAATAATGCTTAGTTGTATATTTTATACGTGGGTGTAACTTAAGCAAGCTTTTGATACATTTACGAAGGTAACAACTAAATTGTTCATTATTTCTTTGAAAGGAATCCAACACATCCTAACGGCTTGATTCAGGTAAAAAAGACCCATCTGGCCCTATGGAATATAAGTTTGTGAGCTTTGAATGCACTTTTGGAGGTATAGTTTAGTAAGCTTGGGACGCTTAAAATACCAACCTTGCAACAATTCTCAGCAAAGTCTAACCAACGCGTCAATAATGCCTTTTTACGGTAAATGAATATTTTATCTACTTGAAGTGAACCCAATATGTACTGAAATAACCCTGGTCCTTCTAAAAAGCTACTATATTTGGGTCTCGCCTACTCAGGAACATTCTGCCTCCCCCCAGTGCTATAATTATAGGAAATTTTCCCTGGCAGTATACTTACTTTCGAGTACCAAATACAGCCGACTGTTTTTGGATGCTGTTCGGACAGGTTGGAGTAATTTCTTACTGCAATATGAGAACTGTTTCGGAGATGAACATATTGTTTACAATATTCATTTTCTGAAACGTACAGTGGATGGCGTCGAGCTGCATGGGCTATTAGAAGGATTCAATGCATTTCCCTTTGAATCCTATATGCGCATGATCGGACAGTCGGTGTGCTGTGGATATGCTCTGGCTAAGCAGGCAGCTCAGCGTTATGTTGAGCACGTGTGCTTAATGAAAAGTACAGGTGTCAAGCATGTACCTAAAGAAGCTAGTAATAAGGGCGTTAAGTTTAGCAAAGGAAAGTTAACTTATATGAACGCCATATTTACTTCTTATTCTCCGGACAATGTAATCTTGGCCTCAGGTAAAACGGGGGAATATAGTTGAAATGGAAAGTGAAGATTGGATACGCTTTCGACCCTACTGTGATTTTAGTGATGATTTTACTACACCATTTAAATCAAGGAATTTAGGGATATTCAGATGTTCGAAATTCAGTCACGAGATGTAAGGTTCATTAATGAAGTACTTATTTCTGTAGCGACCAACTGATGACATCGAGAGAGGTTGGTGACATAATGGATTAGGCCACGAAATCGTACATTCATAATTTGAAAGATCGTGTCCAAAGGCGTAACCTGAAGAAAGGAATTCAGGTAATACTGTTAAACGCCTGCTTCGTTTTATAGGTTAACGTTAAGACAACATCTAGTAATCACAACATTGTTTTTATTTCTAGGCAAATGGAAAAGATTGCAGAGGATATAACAGTGGCAGATATGTAAGCGAACTTTTCTAAATGTAAATGCTGAGAATATGATGAGCACAATGTTTCATCAACTGACATTTCATTTTGCTTATTTACAGGGTGCTACCAGTGGACCTAACTTGATGGATTAGCAGTGACATTGTACTACAGTTTCCAAATATAATTTCCAAATTTAAGCTCAAAAAAAATTGCCACTATGTGCTAAATTAAGTCTTTTTCTTCTGAAGTTAAGCTAGTCCGTACTGAAGATGAGCTCAAAGGGTTTAAATAAAGCTGATAAGCAAAACCAGTAGGTTCTCATCTACTCCTGAAAATGTCTACAAAAAGAACATGGTGTTGAATTAGTGTCAGTCATGCTGAGAACCAAAACTGAGTTCTAGACTGTGAAATTAAAGAGTCTATTTAAGAAAAGATCCAGAATTTACTGACTGTAGAACGTTGGAATTAGTGGGATTTAATTCAGCATTATGATAAGCTTGGGAGGAGCAGAACCTGGACTAGAAGGGCTGCAATAAGGCTGATAAGCTACTTCTGGAAATGCGTAGAATAAGAACAAGCTGCTGAATTGGTGCCAGTCATGATGATAAACCAGCGCACAGTTCTACCTTAAGCAAATAATCCGTAACTGCTCTGCCACTGTTTGATCCAACAATGGCAGAACAGTTAAGGCGTTTAATTACTGAGAAAAGTTACTATATTAGCATAGTATACGTGAATTGGCTCAATGATTGCTGATTTACCATAATCCGTAACTGCCAACATAAAAACTGGGAACTGCAGGCTAAAAATAAACGTCTTAGTAGCATCCAGTGACAAAAAACTGACCTACATACGCCAATACAAGCAAAACGTTTAAAAAACCTTTAAAATTCAATGGAAAACGAATTCACGAAAACATATAACCAGCAGACGCAGGAACCCATCATGACCTTGAAACTGACTATAGCGTCTTTCCTATATTATCAGCATGCAAGGGTTAAATTAAGCGGTTACAAGTTAGTTATCATCTGTTAAAACAAGTCCAGCTAAACGGTCCTCTTCTTGTTCCAATGAGTTTATGCTAGCATTGGTTTCTGCAAAAGAAGAAAAGAAAAACTTATTTAGTGATATCATATTGGTTTTTGTCCTATTACATTGCCTCCCCCTTTCTGTGGGCACTGTCCTCAGTGCCTGATGGTGGTATAGGGTATGCCATGCCTCCGGCAGACGGCACCTCGACTAAGCTAGTTGCAGGTGGCGGTTGAGAGGGGTTCGGCGGTTCCTTGGCGGCGGCGGGATGATGCGGTTTCAGTTGGTTGTAGTGGGCGGAGATGAGAGCGTCTTGAGGGCGTCGTAGATTCTGCAGGATATACGTAGTCGGGGGTCGGTATTGGACGATCTCGTATGGCCCTTGCCATGGCGCGTAGAATTTTGGGCACGAACCAGCGGGAACTGACGGTCGATTTAGCCAGACGTAATCACCGAGTGAATACGTGGGTCCGCGAGCGAACCGGTCGTAGATGCTCTTCTGGTGCTCTGAAGAGGAGTGGAGATGACGGCGCGCCAGCCCGTATGCTACCCCCAGGTGATGACGAAGATGTCGTACATAGGGTATGCAGTCGATTCTCTCATACGGTAGCATTGGCGCCTGGATCTCGACTGGTAGACGAAGTTCACGCCCGAACAACATCATAGCTGGAGAAAAACCCGTTGAGGAATGCACGGAGGAGCGATAAGCCAACAAGCACTGGGGCAGGACGTCGTCCCAGGTGTTTTCCGGAGCGTTATGCAGGAAGGCACGGAGAAGATTCTTGATGGTTCTGTTGGTGCGTTCCACCAGCCCATTACCTTGTGGATGGTAGGGTGTCGTGTGCGTTTTCCGAATGCCAAACGTATTACAGATGTGCGCGATGAGGTTACTCTCGAAAGCAGTGCCTTGATCGGAGTGTAGATAAAGGGGGGCACCAAAACGAGACACCCACGTATCAATGAAGGTGCGACCGATCGTCAGGGCATCCTGGTGTTGCAGGGGAACAGCCTCGCACCACTTGGTGAAATAGTCTACCATTACGAGTATGTAACGGTTACCGCCTCTCGACGCTGTGACTGGCCCCATAATATCTATCCCCACTCGGTGATTGGGAGTCTCGGTTAACATCGGAACCAATGGTGCTCGCGAGACTGGATTAGGCTGCTTAATTTGGGCACACGTAGCACAATTTCCGCAGAATTAAGTGACGTCGTGATGAACCAGTGGCCACCAAAAGCGTTGATGGACAGCGTGTTCGGTTTTCCGTTGGCCAGCGTGGCCGAGTTGCTGGTGTACGAGATGTATTACCTCCGGGACCTTCAGACGTGGCACGATAAGGCGCGGTGACAATGGTGGTTCGACTATATACAAGACGTTATCAATCAGTCTAACATGTTGGACAAGAGATTGGGATACCTGGGAAGTAGTCTATTGTTTCCCTATTTATGATTTTGCTATTTGTCTCCTGAGTTT